TAAGTCTCTTAATAAAACTTCTAGTTTATTGAACTGTTGTAAAAAAATCGATATCACATTTGTATATAGTAATTTTTGGAGAAAAAAAAGGCACTCTTCCGTGTGAACGAGTATAAATATACACATTTTCTGCCCCCATGTCTTGAATTTGTGATCATTCTGAATGTATTTTAATAGACTGAATCATGCAGTGATCAGGCAGAGCGCACTGCAAATGCGCACGCGTACTAGACTTCGCGTAATACGTGCACTTTGTAGGTGTTTTGAATCTTTTTTTGCGTCGTGAGAATATTGAGTAAAATAGCTCACTTGTCATGGTGTTCTTTAACTATATCATGTTATGAATAAACAAAACATTGTGAATGTTTACCTCAGTGTGTTTCTTCTGAGTTTATGTGTGCAGTCACGCTCATGTGTTCTGAAGTCTCGAGACAAACAGAGTGAGCTTCAGCGCGAGCTTGTATTCTGTATTCTGCTAACTTACTGCGATTCTCTCTGATGACGCAGTCATCACTTACCGCGGGGAAGAACACATCTTCGGTCTGTCCAATGATTGTAAAGTCATTAGGTCCGTCAGACTGAAGATATTTTAGCGGTAATGAGACTAAAAATATTTAAGACCCATCGAATCCAAATTTAAGATATTTTAAGACTTTTTAAGGCCTTATATTAGGAAAACATTATTTAAGACATTAAGACTTTAAGGACCCGCGGACACCCTGAAAATATCAAAACTGACCGCCACAAACAGATTTTCCAAAAGGATTTGACTTTGTTGAATAAACGTGTCAAAGTCGAAACCCAGTGCGGGTGTTTTTATATCACTGTATTTCTGAAGGAAACTGACTGTCTTCATAAAATTATGGATGTCATTTTCACTTCATCTTGCCTGTAATGCCTGAGCAGCTTTGATTACAGCCGTTACCGGGGAAATTGAGGAAATCTCTCCCGCTCTACAAGCGCCTCCTGCTGGCAGAGAATGAATTTGCATATATATGCCGCCACAAATAGAGTGTAAGTCTGTGGGAAACACCGCTTCTGTTATGAATATTATTCAATATTTTAATTTGAATGTCGGATTGAATTGCTTTCTTATGTTGAACACAAAAGAAGATATTTTGAAGACAGTTGGTGGTTGCCATTGACTTCCATAGTATTTTTTTTTTCTTACTATGGAAGTCAATGGCAACCACCAACTGTTTGATTACCAGCAATCTTCAAAATATCTTATTTTATGTTCAACATAAGAAAGCAACTCATACAGGTTTGGAACGACATGAGGGTGAGTAAATGATGACAGAATTTTCATTTTTGGGTGAACTATCCCTTTAATCGTTAGCATAAGCACGACTAATGCTAATATAATGAATGAAGTTTCTTTATTAACTATTTAACGCTCCTATAACTTTTATTAGGGTTTTTTTTTTTTTTTTTAGCTAACTTAGTTGTTTTTCTTGGCTGAATAACTCTAGAGGGTTTTAAAAGCCCTTTAAAATTAAATATGTACACAGTTTGGATTAAAAGAAAGTATAGTCTAATTTTTTAACTAGCATGTTTTTGTGTTTGGCTTTGGTACCAAGAACCGTGGACTTTCACTGGTATTGGTACCGAATACTGACATTTTGGTACTGTGATAACACTACCTGTATGTGTTTAAAAAACATGAGGGAGAATAAAATATAAAGCTCTTGCTTGAATGGGTGTCGTTTCTTACCTTGTGGATGAAGTTTTCTATTTTGGTTTGCAGGCCCCACCACTTAAACTTGACGGTGACTAGTTTGTACGCACACATACGAGGGGCGTCCGGCTTAGCCAAGAGCTCTTTCTGTTCAGGGAGAAATCACACATGGGCTTTATATGGAACTGAATCGGGAACAAAAATCTCTGATAAATTAACTAATATAATACAGCCACTCACCTTCCAGTCCGGTCCTAAAGGTCCCCGGCCTGTTTTCACTGATTGAAAGATTGCTGGGTCCTCTTCCTGTTTATAATCCTGAGAGAACAACAACTGGGTCAAATGTGTTTTCTTTATGGTTAATATTTCTCCACATATTCGTATATAATATATATATATAATATTTCGGTTTTTACTATATTTTTTATCAAATAAATACAAAGGAAGCGTAAAAGACTTCATTCAAAAAATATATATAACAAAAATACAAACTTTTGACCAGTAGTGTGCATGTGAAGTGATCCCTCAAGAATCACAAGACTTCTTGTGTAGTTAGTAGTTAGTTTTGTGTGTGTGTGTGTGTGAGAGAGAGAGAGAGAGAGAGAGAGAGAGAGAGAGAGAAAAGAGAAATAAATGAATAAATAAAATAAAATAAAGTGCTAAATGATTCTTTAAGAGAGTCGCTAGATTTATGGCGAGACTAAAATAGTTCAGAAGTCTGGGGTCAGTAAGATCGTTTTTAATGTAAATTTCATATACTATAAATCATAATGATCACTCAGAGAGTTGCTTGATTTGTCAATAGGTGCTTTTTGAAAAAAATAAGTTGCTAAAGGTGTCTGAAAAGGTAACAATACGTTATCTTAAAAAACACCTTCCCACCACCTTCAGTTTGGGAATTCCCATCATTTCCGTCTTTTCACACTAGTGCGCACACTCGCGCGCTACCTTTTAATCTCTCAAACCTTGGTGCTGAGTACCGTGAACATATGGGAATAAGGATTAACCTGAACCAGGACTGATCCACTTAACTAATTAAAGATATGAAGCATAAAAGCACTGGGACCTGGGAGGAGCAGTCACTTCAGCGCCCCTCTACAGTGAGCAGGTCAGCAGGAGATGAAGAGGAACAGATAACCAACACACTCCTGCTAGTCAACACACCACGACGCTGGACTCCAGTCAAACGGACACAGCTGTATTTATGCACTCGGCACAGAGCCAGAATGAGGTCACATGGAAACGCATTTGGATGTATTCAAAGCAGCTGATGTTTGACGCAGTGTGCGTGTCTGCTTGTACACGGCACCGGCAGCTAGTTTGTTTGATCTTGAGGCTTGAGATTTTAGCAGCGATGTCTAAAGCTTCAAACAGACCAGATTGTGCAGTAAACTCTGCTGCTTACAGCAGGTTCAGGTCTCCCTGCTGTAGATAAAGATAAGAAGCAGCCTTCTTGGTAAACTATTGAACCTCGAGTAATGCAGGTTAGAAGGGCAATGGTCCACATGCTCTAATGTCATGTCACCCTAATCCAGTCTTATGTAACACGCCGGCTAAAGGCTGAATCACAAGTCACACACTAGCCAGCCTAAATAGCATGCAAGATAAGGATTAGCACGTCCCAAATCACAGCACACTGGAAACAGTTGGCTAAAAGTGCCATTTCTGGTGGATTTTTAATGTCCATGTTTTTAAGCTAACATTGACTCTAAATTTGTGTGCTACAGGAGGAGGAATTTGTGACGTTGTGATTTGTTTGTATGAACCTAATCAATAATGAAATTAATTTAGATACACAAATACTTACATGCAAACAAACAGCATGCAACAAAGGGGTTTGTTGTATTAAGACAATTTTATGACATAGTAATATGATAAAAAGTGCTGTGATGTCTTGCTACAAAGTACATGCACTACTGTTTAAAAGTTTGGGGTCAGCAAGATTTTTTTATGTTTTTGAGTTTCTTCTGCTCACCAAGACTTCATTTATTTGATTAAAAAAATGAGTGAAAACAGTAAAACTGTGAAATATTATTACTATTTAAAATAACTGTTTTCTATTTGAATGTATTGTAAAATGTAATTTATTCCTGTGATCAAAGCTGAATTTTCAGCATCATTACTCCAGTCTTCAGTAACATGATCCTTCGGAAATAATTCGAATATGCTGATTTGCTGCTCAATAAATATATTTTCATATATATTTGGTAACATTTTAAATGTCTTTACTGACACTTCAATTTAATGCATACTTAATTTCTTTCAAAAACAAAACTAAAAATCTTACTGACCTCAAACTTTTTGTGCAGGGAATAGTACATAAAACACAATATTAAACTAAGTGGATAAATCAGATTTTGCCAGTTTGAGATTATCTGCATCAGCCGATAAGCATTTATGCATGAGCGATTAACACGAGCACAATGGTTGAACACTAAATGAGCCTCAAATAGTTCCAATGGTCTCATTTAATGCATGATTTTATCCAAAAAGGACTCACAAATGAGGAACATCACACCAAAACCTTGATGCAGCTTAATGCATTTGCAGCAGAGGTTATGCAAATCAGTTGCCACGTGTTGGATATCAACAGTCCATTTTTGAATGCCAGCTGACCACAGGGTGACCAGCAGGGATGGACTATAAGCTTTATATTCAAAATGGGTATTGCTACTACAAGGCACAAAGAATGTGTGCAAATGAGATCAGAACATTTGTAGACTGATGTAAAGTGAACTCACTCCAGGTTCAACGTGAGACCGATCGGCTATATCGATATGTACGACTTCGACCGTCTTCCATGTGGTGGGATCCAGATCATGTACCTGTAATTGGGCACAAACAAACACAAAAAACATATCAGCTTGAGCATGAGATTACAGATGCATTCAAAACATCAAAAAAAGTCTCACTCACATTCTCTAAAGAGCCCGTGTCAGGTTTGTGCCATGTTTCAATTTTAATCATGAAGTCATCTTTCATGTATTCGTTCTGAGGAGAAGATACAGTGTTGTTTACATTCATGAAATGCGGTTTTACCACAAACAGCAGCATAAGTTCACTTTAAACTGTGGTTTAACAGCGCATGCAATGCAAATATGTTTCTAAAGGCTAATCTGAGGTCCAACAAGTTTAGAGCCGTCCAAACCGCATGTTTTTAAACTGGCTTTAATGCTGGAGGGAACGAGTTCCTAGAAAACAGGAAGTAAATAGGCTGTACTCCAAGTTCTAGGTAAACTGGCGTTATGATTGGTGTGCTGAACTAAAGTAAACACACATACAGTGGTCCCAAAACATATTCAGACACTTGAAGGAATAATTCAGCCAAAAATGAAAACTTGCTAAAAATGTCCTCACCCTCGGGCCATCCAAGATGTAGAGGAGTTTGTTTGTTCATGGGAACAGATTTGGAGAAATTTGGCATTACATCACTTGCTCAACAATGGATCGTCTGCAGTGAATGGGTGCCGTCAGAATGAGAGTCCAAACAGCTGATAAAAACATCACAATAATCCACACCACTCCAGTCCATCAGTTAACATCTTGGAAACCAAAAGTTTTAATTTGAAACGTCACTTCTGACCAAAAAATTAGTCCATAATCCATAATAACACTTCCTCCAGTGATGAAGTCCATTTCCTGTTGTCCTCTCACATCAAAATCCACACACATATTTGTTTAGAGCTGTTTGGGACTGTTTTCACTTATAAACGGTGTTTGATCTGTGCATATTTCTCTCCTAATTCAGACGAGAAAACTTGTTCTTTGAAGAAAGCAATATTATGGATAGAAGCAATAGTTTGAAGTTTAAAAAAAAATTCTTGATGATTGATTTGTTTCAAACAAAGATGCAGCTTTTGGCTTCAGAAGACATTAATTGATGGACTGAAGTGGTGTGGTTACTTGTGGATTATTGTGATGTTTTTATCAGCTGTTTGGACTCTCATTCTGACGGCACCCATTCACGGCAGACGATCCATTGGTGAGCAAGTGATGCAATGCTACATTTCTCCAAATGTGCTCCAGTGAAGAAAAACTAATCTACATCTTGAATGGCCTGAGGGTGAGTACATCTTCAGCAAATTTTCTTTTTTGGTTGGACTACTCCTTTAAGCCACACTTAGAAGTATAAATAATTATTTAGCAAACAGAAAGATGGCACACGTGCACTTTGCAAACAAAAGTTGACAAAGCAAGTCACAAGAAACTATAAAGACATGCAAATACAGACACTTAATCTGATGCAATGACATTCACACACTTACAAGCATGTCTGAATAGTTTTTAAAAGTCACTGTGTCAATTCACACGCTAAGAATCAAATAATGTGACTCGATCAAAAACAACTTTTACAAACTGCAGGCACTTCATAGTAAATGATCATGCACTAAAGTTTAGTGTACAGTCATAATGACAGCTAGTGTTCGTACTTACAGTCACAACTGAGGAGAATGGAGCAGCATGCAAAAATGAAAGAAGAAAAATAATCAGGTGACAAATAAACCATTCATATTTCCACTGTCAAAACAGACCAAAACAAATGAGGCCCAAAACATACTCTGAGTTCATGAATGCAAACCGTTACAGCCACGAAATATGTCAGAGGTCAATTCATAATGCAACTCAAGTATGCACAGCCTTCTTAGTGTATCATACACTAAGTTGGTTAAATGACTGAGACCCGTAGTGTTGGCTAAAAACAACAGCGTTTAGCTAGGCATGCTTAGGTGGAGTAATCATGTCTGCGTTTGCATACTTGCCGAGCATGTTTCCGGCCTCATTCTTTACCAAACGGCACATGTGAGAACTTCGTGAAACGATCAAAAAACATTGTACACACATGACGTCTGTGCCAATATGTAATTCATTACATATTGTCGTATGCAATAAAAACATAATAGTGACGGATTGTGGTATAACGGATGAAAAGGTTTCCAACTCACTCGTGCGGCAGTATGGATAAGCATTCCAGGCCTTTTCATGGAAAACTAATGCTCCCTCTGGTGCGATCATCTTCACAAAGCCTGGCACTTTACTGGATGAATGTAAAACACAAGAGTAATGAAGCAAAGCCGGAGTAATTATTTACAGCATCACGTTAAGTTGAATGGCTTGTCATCTGATAATATGCTGCAAAACACTTGAGATGTGGCACATCTGACAATACTAAACCGTAGTATAACTACTACAGAATAAAACGACCCATTTTTACCTCTTTAAGTGGTAGATTTTGTGTGTGTATTGTCCCTTCTCGCCTTCCTTCTCATAGGGTTCATTCTTGAGCACTTCAATGCCCTCTCCTCCACCCGTCTCGTTTTTACTAGCCTCAGCCACCGAGAAAAGCTGCCCGACTTGATACTGCAATGGCAGAGAGAAAAAGGTGAGGTTTGATAGATCAGATGGTAAGAGATGGTATAACCACACTTAAAACTCAATACCAAATCAAAGGTGACTATTGACCTTTCTATGAACCCTATGAAATAAAAAAAAAAAACTTTAGTTTAGTCCAGGTCTATCATAGTTAACTAAAACTGAAGCCATAAAAAAGTTGTTCCTTACAGTGTTATTTTAGTATCATTGAGAACACTTAATTCATAGTTCTTTTTAATATTTTGAATGTTTTTATATATATTTCGACTTTACATTTTTAGTAATTTTGTTCTGTGTTTGTCATTTTTAGTAGCTTCTGTTTTTTCTATACTTTTTAAGTCATTTTTATTACATTTATCTTAGTACAAGTCAAACTAAATTAAAATGAGAAATGTTGCCTCGACAAGTAGCTGAAATAATTTGTTATATTTGTATTATATTATTTATTATATTAAATTATATGAATATTTATATAAACGTTTATTTTATTTCAAGTAATGATTTTTTATTTTATTTTAGTTCCAGGTTAATTATAGTAACCCTGGTTACCTGAAATAAAATGTACATTAACTAAAATAAAATATAAAAAAACAAAAACATTTTAAGCTAGCTGCCAAGGCAACATTTTTATTTAGTTTAATTTGATGTACTAAAACAACTAAGTGAAATAAAAATAGAAACTATATAGAAAAAGCACAGAGGAACAAAATACTAAAATGACAAAAACAAACACAAAAAAGTATCTCACTTTAAAATTAAAATGAGAAATATAAAAAAATAATTTAGAATATGAATAAAAACTATAATAGTATCTCTCTGATACTAAAATAATTTTGGTTTCGTCCATGTCTTTGAGGTCATCTTTATGCTAGTGCACTCCTAAAAAGTCCTCTTGGAAAATAGATTTTAATCTTAAAAGGTTTTATTTTTTTTTACATCTTATCTCTTAAAATTAGTACTAGTGGATCTCACATGCATGAATACACAAACCCTACAGACTTCATATAGGAAACGCTCTCAGATCAGCGTCTGTGGAATTAAACGGCTCTCGTATAATTAAAATACGTCCCTTCCAGCAGTTCCAGATATGAAGACAAAGCTTTGCATTGTGTGACTGATTGATGCCTTAGAGGGACATTATAGTAAAACCACTTTTACAAAGGCAAACAGGGAACTGATGTAGATATATGCATGAATAGTTAAGCTAGGCTTTGGACCAGGGTTATTATAGGTAACTAAAACCATAAAATATGTTAGTTTAACTTGACGTACTAAAACTAATGCTGAAATAAAAGCTATATAGAAGGGTTATTACAGCTAACCAAAATTAAAGCTGACACTAAAATTAAAACCATTAAAAATGTCTCTTGAAATAAAATGAAATAACTGAAATAAATTAACTGAAAAAAAAACAACACATTTAAATAAATATTTATATTGAAATAAATATTTTAAATAATTATTTCAACTATTTGCAAAGGCAACGTATTTAATTTTTAATTAAACTTAGTGTACTAAAATAAAACTAAAATACAAATATTATATATATATATATATATATATATATATATATATACACACATATATACATATATATATTATTTTATATACTATAAATGACATGACAAAATTACTAAAATTTACATTAAAATGGAAAGCACATAAATTTAAAACCGATTCAAAATAAAAACTGTAATAGTATCTTAATTAAGGATGCACCGAATGTTCGGCAACCAAAATTGTTTGGCCGAAAATGGCAAAAAAAGCTCTGTGTTTGGAATAAGCGAAAAAGACTGAACAATGTATAAATAAATTGTACCAAACAATGACGTGACGCAATCAAACAGAGGCTAATGCAGCAAACATGTCGGCAGTGTGTAAGCATTTAAAACTGTGAGAGAAAGACACAAAAATCAAGCTGCGCTGAAACGGTGCTACTGTCAGTTGCTCAGTAACATTTTTATGAATTTTTACAAGGCATGGCTGTGACAATGTGATACGTGCGACAAACATCTTCCCAAATTCGTAATGAGAATCATTTATAAATCTGTCGTTGTCAACAAAAAGCACCACCGAGATCTTCCTGAAGGTTTCCGCCAAAATAAAAGCTCCATCAACATTCATAAATGTTAGTATTGTAATTTTACTGTTGTTCTGTCAAATAAAATAAAAACATTTAGACAATAATAATGATAATTACAACAGTTATATTAACACATTTATTATAACATTCACACTAGGCATGGGCTGATTACCGGTTTCAAGGTATACCGCGATTTGAAAATGCGCTGTTTTTCATGTCTCCTCAAAGACTGAAAGTGTAGGAATCCCTCAGGTTGAGTGCAGTGTAGAGAGTAACACGACCCTCCTCCTGTTGGTGCGAGCGAGCGGTCAGTCACGTGTGTGTAGGATGGCCGAACTTAAGGAGCTGCCCCTGGAACTTACGCGATCGGCAACCGGTTGTTTTTTGTCTTATTGCAAGCAACTCGTCTCTGTTCTGGACTTGCACAAACTGCGTTGCAATGCAATCGTTTTCCAAAATGTCATTTATGTGAAAATATGAAGTCTGTAAACACCTGTTAACACAGGCCAGAGACGCTGAAGATACAGAGACACAGAGAAAAATACTGTAGCAGGCAGATCACTCACCGTTCATGATGCACAAACTATTGGAAGAAAATCCTCAATATTGATTTGGGGGTTTATATGAATGTGTTTCTGAGGGGAACTGACTGTCTACAGAAAAGTTTACGTGGTATTTTCTTTTAATCTCGTCCCTGTATAGTTTATATTAAAGCAGTTTCAGCAGCGCTGCTTTGTTTACAGCGGTAACCAAAGAAACGCAGTATCTGGTGTTCCAGAAGCGCCTCCTGCTGTCAGAGAGTGAATCTGCGTCTCATTCAGAGCTTCTGCTGTTTGCTTCATTCAGGCATGTAGTATAATTTCACAAAGCTAGTCAGAACATTGTTTTTGCTTCAAATTGGGTTATTATTAAATCTAATTATGTGTATGAAATGATATGTATATGAATTATATAACTAATTAAATAACTGTAATTACAGATTTAGGTTAAATAAAATGTCAGTCTTTATTTTTCTTCTTTTTAGGAAACAAATCAAACAAAAAATAAACAAATTCTACTGTTCCTAATATTCTGTGTTGCTCAAACTAAATATATTGTGTTCAGTGGAAAAAAGTTTTTTTTTTTTTTACCCAGTCATTTAAAAATAACACATTTTAGAGCTGTAACGACAATACTGTGATACCGTGATATTTTTGCTTAAGGTTATTGTACCGTCAAAATCTCATACTGGCCCATGCCTAATTCACACAGTGTTCAAATCAGTAATAGATTTGTAGATTTGTATCATGGGATCTGAAATATTTTCTAATGTTTTAAAAGAATTCTCTTCTGCTCAGCAAGGCTGCATTTACTTGTACAGTAAAAAATACATGCCTGATTCAAGAAGGGGGTCTCAAAAATGACTGTAATAATGTCTGCTAGAATGTTAAAAAATGTTCAGTGCCAAGTAAATATTTTTAAATGGTTGTTTTGCAATTGTTTTTTTTCTTAGAAAAGCACGACAAAACAGTAAAAAGCTAAATTTGGGTATTTCATTTATGCAATGGTGAAAAAAAATTCTAAATGCTTGGAAAAAAGGCGAAAAACTTGTTCGGTATTCGGCCTTAGGCCCAGTGTTTCATTTTGTTCGGCTTTGGCCAAGAATTTTCATTTTGGTGCATCCCTAATCTTAATGATACTAGAATAACACTGCAAGACATTTAAAATAAAAACCGAAAAACTAATAAAAATTACATGAACGACTAACCTAGAATTTTAACAAAATTTTTAATGAAAATGCAAAAAAAAAAAAAAAATTTTTAAATCAACAAATTTAAAAAATGTATATATATTAAAAAAAAATAAATAAATACATAACAGTATCTCAATGGTAACACTAAAAATAATACTGCTTCTAGTGTCTTCCACCATCTTGGATTTATTTGCCCACTTAGATTATTGCAATGCAAAAGTGATGCTTGCAACTATGATGCCATAACATGCATGCACTGTAGGCAGCTCACTAAGTTTTGGAACAGAGCCCTAGAGTGTGTTTTTCTGAAAGAGGATCCTTGTATCAGATGATGGCATCTGCAACTCAGATCACTTAAAAACAGTCTGCTTGACAGCTGTCAGGCAGCAAAAGGACTTCACAAAAGTAGTCTGACTGTATGTCGCATGCTACGAATCAACGGCATCCTAAATGCAAAATATCAAACAATGTCAATCAAGCAAGCATCAAGTTTGGTTCTCTCAGAACAACACGAGACTCAAATGTTCCCCGAGGGCGAGCGTGTTCTACATGCATGCTTTATCTTGTCCTTGTTGCTCTGATCAAATACTCGACGTGCCAGACGAGTTCAAAACGCTGGGGTTTTATGCGATTGTTGTGATGTTGAACTCTAGAAAAATGTTTCAGATGGAGCCGTCCGACTCTACTGATGCCGCTAATGCAACTAATAACCCATCAGCATTATTAAACCACAGGAAATGAGGGTCTCTGCTGGTTTTCAAGGTCAAAGTAATGCTGTGCACTTAGTCCATTTTTAACTTATTAGGACTTTGGGAGGAATTTTCTCACCTCTTCCACAGAGCATGGCAAAACCACACGACTGAAAGAAAAGAAAAAACAACAATTATTAAAAATAATAATAATAAAAAATACAGAAAACACTCATTTTACACACACATAAAATGCAGTAACACATTCCACCACTGATAGCCTATATTAATAAAACACTATTTTCGTGGGTGATTTTTTTTTTAGTGCAATGCCAAAAAAACTATATATTACTGAAACAAATTTCTTGTTTGCTCTCACTAAATTGTATTAATATTATAAACAATAATGTATTAGTTTAATAAATTTATTTATAAAATATAAATTTTTACATTTAAATCTATTAATAAAACAAATAGACTTATTAATATTATAAAATATACATACATATATATATATAAATAAACACAGATTTAAACATAACCATTTATGAAATATTATATTATATTATTATACAAAACCCCAGAAAATGCTGATGATTTCAAATTGTGTAAAATATCAAGTGAATAATCAGTCTGGGTAATTTAGATATCTGTCTATCACTTGCAGTGAACAACCGATTTCAATAATTGATGCTGATCCCAATATTCAGAAACAATGCACACACAAAACAATTGAATTACAGTAAATGACATTTTGTGGGATTTTGAAAGTAAGAGTTGTAGAAAAGACAGGGAAGTAGGGGTGAGAAAGAGGAAATGAGATCAGCACAGGACCCAGTTCAAAAGCAAACCTGGTTTCCTGTGAGCCACCAGCTCTTCTACGAGCATGTGCACAAGACACTGCTGCCAAACACGCGTAATAATAATCATCCTGGAACATCTATTGTTCTATTACTACAAGTAATGATAATTCCTACTGTAAGGTAAGCTATATGAACAACATTTCTCTGCTCATCTTGAGAGCTCTCTGGAAGCTTGATTTGACACATGAACATTAAATAACGTGTAAAAGTCGCATGAGACGACAAATTAATCTCTGCTCTTTGCTCAATAACATCCTTCGACCGTTCATCTATTACAGGTCAATCCCTGCTATATGAGCCAATCCTGAAAATAATGAAATTATCCATTTACAGACAGGCAAAACACTACAGATTTCATCCACATAAGCAGTCTCATTAAAGGAAAACTGACATCAGTTTCTATATTACTCAACATTTTCTCAATACGGAAACTCCACTCCCCTGTGAACCTCAAGAGGCTAAAAAGCTACCCTTTCCACTGAGTGACTCAGAAATTGAGAGGTCTTGCGACAAACTGAGTTTTTCTAGTACATTTGACCATTTAAACCTAGCAGAGAGAGACACGCTGGAAACTTTGGCAGCGAGTTTCCCAGAATAAAACCCATGCAAACCTGTTGCATTGCTGCTCAACGTGACTAGGATCGCTCACATTTGCATTCTCTTGCAAACCTAAAGGGTGCATGCTCCGAGTCCAAACCTTCAGAGAAGGTGAAAAGGTGCTGGATTTCATAAAGTGACATAATCTTGATCCGATCTCTCAGATTAAAGACTATACAGCTACTGTTTTCAGGCATGCCATGTCCTGTGCAACAGATGAGAACCTAATTAAAACGTGATAACTAGATCCCTAGAGAACAGAAATATAAAACCTGGAAGGAAACAAGAACAGGTTGGAAATGAATGACTGCAGGCCCACATAAACGGGAGTCACCTGTCAAACTGGCGTTTAAGTCCAACTCGGATGCATCAAAGAATGTCTAAAAACAGAAAATGCCTAAAAATAACCAAGTCACACGAGTGAATATAATTAGATTAAGTGGTTAACAAGGCGAACCAAACGTGTTGCCAAGCCAGAGGGTAATTTATAATCATCATTAAACACTTTTCAATTATATAGACCAAACTGCTACCATTCACAGGTTTAAAAACATGGACTTTAGGTCTCTGTGTATTTATTTAAATGATCAACTAAATTAGTATGATACAGTACGTCGGAAAGTTTTACTCAGACAGACTTTACTCAAAAGTTGCTGAACTGTCAAGCGGCTTTGCTGTCATTAATAATGCCTCACTTACATAAACCGGCAAAAGAAAAAAAAATCATTAAAAAGCGAGTTTTTACTACAGAGTGGCATGTTTGTGATAATAAATCCGCTAACGTCGAAGTCAGCCACTTTCTGAGAACATAAACTGGTATAAATCAATGACTATTTCGTTATCTCCAGTCTGAGGGAACTATCAGATTTGGTGCCGTTTAATCTTGACGGCTAATAACTAACAGCGAATAGCATCGCGTGCTAACGCACCTCTCGTTGAAAATGAATGGCGAGTGGTTTCGCTTAGCCTAGAATGCTAATGCTAATGCTACATGCTAGCGCGGTTAAAGCTTGGCCTCATGCGCGAGCCGGTGTCTCAAGCACATCCCGGGAGCGAGTCCACATTTCACCCTCCAAAAGTGCTCAAGAACCAGCAGATACACATTTACTAAGTGTAATTCGCAAGCGAATTAAATGTTTGGCTGGAAAGGTGAAAAAAACAAGACTTGCACTTACTATTCCTTGAGGAGCACCATCTTCTTCTCACCGGTTACGGCTGCTCGCAGGCCTGCCGACGTCACAAGCCACGTGATCCCGCCGCATTCAGCCGATGACGCGCTTTAGGATGTTTAGAATCATAAAGCATTGAGAAAGTGTTTGTGGGATTTCTCTTCCAAAAGAGGACACGACTAGAAATCAATGGTTAAGTTGTATTCACAACACTGTTTCAGAACAGTTTAACCCAAATATTCAGATGTA